ATAGAGGGCGTAATGCCCGACTCTATGGTGAGTTTGAGCACAAGAGACAAAGAAAGTACATACCCGGGGGGTTGCCACTGTGTCCGAGGGAGCCCGGGGCACGGCAGGCGTAACCATCAGCTCGATGATCGGGAGGACTGTGGAGCAGAGGAGTCGTGACCTGGGAGTCCATTTTTTCCAACGGAACGGTCGTCACGGTGGGTGGTATTTCCGGAGCGGCGGCGTCCGAGCCATCAGTGGCTCCAAGCAGAGTGAAAATTATGCCAGCTTGAGAATTGACGCCAACAGCTGTCACCAGCATCCTCCCTGAACCCTCCATAACGTGAGTGCCTGTTACAAAAAAAAGAGAAAACAAAGGGAGAGATGAGGACTGTTAGGTGGTGGAGGCAGTAAGTAAATACGTGGAGTCGCACCAAGTAACACACTCTAAGAGTTCTGAAAGCAGGGAAGTTCATAACGGTAATAAATAAGTTATCAGAATACCTCTCTTTGGAATATACTTAGCCAAAAATGGATTTTTGGCAACAAACAGCAGAGCACCAAACTTGGAGGAGGAAACCATCAAATTCATGGGTTTATCGATCAGCCTAACTGGATGTACACAAAACCACCTTCCATAAACATATTTTCCACGTAGTAGTAGTATTATTAATAATTACAGTGGAGCTTCCGGTGAGTAGCAGCTCCATCTAACGGGCGAGCCACTCGCAGAAAGTTTGTTTCGATTAACGAACTTCCACTCAGGTAACGAATTATCAGTTGGTGTATGTGCCTGCGTCCGCCACTGAGTCTTGCTACCAGGACGTGGGTCCTCGGTCACCTGCAGCCAATAAGTGAACCGATGCGGCCTGCTTAGCTACCTTTTGCAAGACGAACGTTTCATATGAGAAGTTCGATGCTGGAACGGAGTAAACTCGATAACCGAGGTTCCACTGTAGCTATTATCGGACGAAAGTGGTAATCCTGGTGATTCGCTGAGCCACAAGGCGGCTATTTATCCAATTGATGAAAGTTGAAGAAAATGAGCTTTGTGAAAATAGACACAGAAGTCATTAGCCGAAAGTTAGGGCAACTTTACGTGTGAAGAACTAAGTCTCAAAAAGGTTGAATAGTAAAAATAGTGAAATTTTGTGCCGTAAAATCTTCGCACACCATTAAGTCTTGGGATTGAAATAATATTCCGGCAGCACTCACGAAATGTTCAGGATATTAAAGGGTTAGTTTCCGTCGTTTACTTCTACTGCCTTCGTAAATTTGCTGTAGAACAGGCAGGCAGAGTGATTTTGCAGTGGACCCTTAAGAAACGAGTGTTTTTTAAAAAAAAAAAGAAAACGGGTCCTAGGTAAACACAATAACGACTCTTTTTGATGAGATGCAAAACAAGTATGTGCCAGTTAAGCATATGCAGGGGAAATTTTGCCAGTGCTTCCCCTGAGCCTGCTGCGAAAGAGGCTGAAGCCAATCAGTTAATCGTACCGAAAGGGGAAAAAGTTACGGGGAAAGCTGCATACCCCAGTTTCACGGCAAATTTAGAGAGTGGTCTCACTGAAGCCTGATTAAGCCTATGTGAAGCCGTTCACTACAGCAACCAAACACGGTCAACTATATTCGAAGGACAGATGGACGCGATATATATATATATATATTCCTGACCGTTAGCGTTGCCTAGACCAGTGCAAGCACGCGTTCCATAAAGTTAATGGGATTCACCAATGATAAAGTTGAAAAGAACCCAACAAGCCCGGCTGAAAGTCACAGTCAGTAAACCTTTATTTATTAGTGTTTTTGTGGTGTTTTGTCGACAACAGATAGGGATGCATAGACTTCTCGAGCTACCACCAATACTTGCTAAATTATTCGCTGCAGAGATCATAACGCTAAGCGGAGAAGGTCCTGCGTATAGAGGTGTGATAAAAACTGCCTTTAATTGCAAACGACTGCCGACCACGCGGGTCGCATGGCAGAATGTACGTGCCTACTAAACAAACATATTTTTTGCGGATTTCGAA